AATCATACCAGATAACTGAGAGTCATGGGGAATAAAAAACCCTTTTTTCCTTTCTTTTTGTTAACATAAATGTGGAGCTTATAAGAACCGATAGTAACTCGAGATTTGGAAGATGTTCGTTATTGAATCTTATATTTTTGTATTTTTCATATGAAATTCGAATTATGCATAAGCATGTATGGGTGGGCATCGGATCGGATCGGATCAAACTCAGGAGAATCGGGATCTAATAATGAAAGATATCTTAGGACCAAGGACTGAACCAATAGTTCATCCGGTCCAAATGTCAATTCGGTCAAAAAAATTTAGTATCTATCGAATTCATGAAACCAAAAACGGGATCATATTATATTTGCTTTGATGTGGTCCGGTCCAAGCGTCGCTTTGATCCGGTGTGGTCTGGAATGAACCACCCCATTGTCCACCCCCTACAAGCATGTAATGACTTATTACATAAATCGATTATTAATATTACCAATTACGAGGATTCGGAAAAAAATACCCCTTTGTCAAACTCTATACCATGTAAAAATCAGGAAAAATGATAGGGTACGTAACCCAAAACTTCAAAATCTACAAAACCTCGTATCTTATCACTCTTAATATGATTTCATATCAGGATGCTATGATTCATATCAAGAATGGTAAAACACTTTTCAGTATTTTACCGACCGTAACCTAGTCAGCTGAGTCTCAATAACTTATCAAGGATCAGACCAATAGTGCATTCGGTATGCTTTGGTCCGGTCCAAATGTCACTCCTGTCAATTTTTCTTTAGTATCTATCGAATTCATGGAACCAAAAATTGGACCATATTATATTCGTTTTGATGTGGTCCGGTCCAAGCGTCGGTTTGATCCGGTGTGGTCTGTTATGAACCACCTCATTACCCTCCCCTACAAGCATGTAATGCCTTGTTACATAAATCAATTAATAATATTAGCAATTACGAGGATTCGAACAAAATACCCCTTTGTCAAACTCTATACCATGTAAAATTTATGAGAAATGATAGGATACAAAACCCAAAACTTCAAAATTCATAAAATCCCGTATATTATCACTCTTGATATAATATCATATCATAGTGGTATGGTTCGTATCAAGAATGATAAAACACGAGGTTTTATAGCTTTTAAATATTGTATCATAATCCAGTAAGCTGAGTCTCAATATATAACTTATTAAATTATTGGAGGAGACCATGCATGAAGAATAGGGTATCAATTTCTTTATCGGAATGGGTTGATCAATTGCACCGGCCGTCTCAAATTAAAGTGGATTTTGGGCAAGTGAAAAGGCATGCATCTGCCTCCTTCCTGGAAGGAGACCTAGCTTAGCTATAACTATATCTTGGCCCCATATTTGAAGAAAACTAAAACCAACAGTGAGGTCATTCATGGAGTTATATATAAACCACATAAAGTTGAACTTGCTTTTACATATACCTTTAGGGGTTGCACTTATCCTAAGCTATCCGAAAGGAATTCCTGCAGAAAGGGAATGAAATATCTAGAGAATGTTCTTCATCTCCTCCATGAACCCATAACCCCAAATCAAAAGAGTAATCCTTTTAGAACTGCTAATCTTGCATTGATGAATCCAACCTTGACAACTCATTGTACTCGTTAAACCCGTGCATTGTACTAAATAGAGTTCCACAAGCAAGAATCTCATCCTAATCCATTTTCTTTTTGCTCCATATATCCAATCTTTCCTTTAATTTACTAACCTCGTTGAAAAGACTCTATTTGCTGCTTTTGGCAATGTGTATCGGATCTTCTTACATATTATTCGCAGCCATTATTTCTCTACAGGTTTTAAGAAAGAACAGATCTAGCTAGGACTGTTATCCAGATATTGTCTTCCTGTTGTGATTTCTATAATAATATTACTGTTCCTTTTTTGTTCTCTTTTCAAACCCAGAAAAAGGAGATCGAGAACCTTATCTCATGTAACAGTTATGGATTTGTTTATCCGTTACATTCTTATATGGTGTGCTCTGGTCGTCATCTGAATTAAAGAGCTTATATAATTAATTAAGGTTAAGTGTAATGATTAGGATATTGTTATATCCTTCCAGCTCTTAGTGCTTTGCTAATGATTACAAGATCAGTATATAAATGTTATCTCCAAATTAAAATAGATATCGTTCGACTGTTTATCATGATAAGCAACCTCTTTTTGAATGTAAGAAAGGGCCCAATTAAGTATCACATCATATGGGTTATGTACACGGTATCTAGGACAACCACCTCTAATATTCTAGTTCTGGTGGATGGTTCTAGTTAATTCCAATCAATCAAGATGGACATCAGGCATAATAATTATAGTCCATAGAGTTGGTTTGATGGTGTGTATGTAGGATGAAGACCAACAAACCTTGTGTTTGAATCTTAGGTCAATTCATCAAGAACTCGATATTGGACTAATAAGAAATTATGTAAAGTAGTGTGACGACTCAAATTACAAGATTCTTGCCAATGATGATTTAGTCTAGCAGTACTTTTGTTAGTTTTCAACTTAAGAATTAATTTCTTCATCGTGAAGGGTAAGGTTATGGATTCTGTTAGAAAATTGGGTTCGGTTCGAAAATTGGGTCTCCTCGATCAATGAAGTTCCATAGTCAACAGCTATGAATGGAGCAATCTTACGAATCCTAGTACATTGAGGTTCATGTGTTAAGACTCCTCAATAGGGATTTGTCAAGAACCAGTTGGTCACAACAATTCGAATTGTTTGGGAGAGGTTTCGTGCATGTATGAATCTTAACCACTTCCTTATACACCCTTTAAAACAAAAGTCAATTCATGGGTTTGAAGTATGCACATAACAGTTATACCATGTGTGTTTTAAATGTACTGTTAATATTGGTGGGGCACGAGGACCTGAACACTTCACCTTAATGACAAACCAACTCTGATATCGCGTGTCATAAACCACTTGATCCCAATAACTCGAGTTGGTGGATGAGATTCAATTATGGATCTTATATCATTTACTAACACATCATCGCGTCAAACAAAAGTTGGGTTTGACGTTTGCATCCGAATACCATGTGCTTAACACATGAATGCCAGGTTAATGGAATTCTGGACAAAAGTCATATCAGTCACAGAGAAGATTCTTATATCATGTCAAGAACTAGTCGGTTTCCAATAATTGAAATTGTTGGAAGAGGTATATATATGTTAACTACGGATTGTTTCCCAGGTCAATGAGGTGGGCACATCAATTAATTGAGGAGGAGCTGGCGCCTTGGTGGTTCGTGACAAGCAAGCCAAGCCGCAACACAAGACAACAGAACAGAGAACTAATTGAGTGTGACAAGCTACGAAAGAAAGAAAGAAAGAAAGGAGTATGCTAATGCTGGTTCGATTTGGAGGGCCAGATGGGTGCGGGCGGGCATCTCCGCACGCAGCAGAACAATTTTGTGTAACTTGCTAGTTGGGTACGTACTCCTCCCTCCCTAAATTCGATTCCCAACTCCTCCACAAATAAAAATCTAGTTGCGGGGTTTGGGGCGTATATAGATTTGGGTGGTAACCCATGCATAATCTGGGTATCTTTATATTTGACATATCTAAACGAATAAATCAACAAAAAAGAGATCCCAGCCATGCCAGATGATGAAGATAGATGTACTACAGAGTCAACTGTTCATCAGAATTAATTAAGTGTTCTTTTGGTGTGCAATCAGAACCAGAGAATTGATGGCTGGATAGAAAAAAGAGGCCCGATCGACCAAGGGGGCATATACCCTCCATGGCGCCAAGTTGCTGAGATGCCCAGCCCAGTCCCCCCACAATAATTTGCAGGAAAGGAAAACCCTAGCTGGGTAGCATAACCTTCCTTCCTTGGTAGTTATTTTGTATTGAGGGGAAAAAAATGTTCATCGATCTAGTTACGTTACGGTTTTGGTTGGGCAGCTAGCCAGGTCTCTAACTAGGAAGAGTCTGAGTCTGATTCTTCCGCATGAGACGACATGGAAGTAGGGAGGCAGACCTTATCCGAATGATCCTGTTCCATCCCATGCAGAAAGGGTAGAGAGAGCAGCCAAGAAAACGTGAAGGAAAGAAACAAAACGCTCAAAAAGCTGACAAAAATGGAGGGAGGGTCAAAAGAATAGGATGGGTATGGGCAGGCGGGAAAGGTAAAAGGACGCGTGGCGGGAAGGGGATGGATGGAGGCCAAACTGTCCACTTGGTGGCTGCCCACAGCACCCATCTGTCAATTCTGACTGCGTAAGAGATCACATGGCCCTTCCCCCACACACAAACACAAACACAAACAGAAACAGAGCACATACCTCACCCATTTTCTTTTTTTCAGGGTATGAAAAAAATTAAAACTTGATCAATTCTAGTAATTGGGTTCAAACAAATGAAATGGGTGTGGTTAAACGACTGGGTTTACAATCTAACTGTGGTTTTTTTTTTTTTTTTATGGGCAATATCAAAAAATTTTATTGAAGCTCTATGTGTCCCCCATGAAGTAGGGAAGAACACATCTGGGTCATTTACAATCTGCAGCTGCAATACTGCTACTAACTCTAAAAATACACATCAAACAAATGAATAAGGAACCTAACCTATACACTGGTTATTACTGACTAAAAACTACTCGAATCTAACTGTGGTTTCGTTCTCCTTTGATGGGAATTCATCATGTGTTTTGGGGTGCTCTGTTTTTTGGTTAAGTTGCAGCTAGCCTGCAGGGGAAATCTAAGCCCGCCCCGCCTTATATATTCCGAACTTTATATTTTTCAGACTGAATCAACTAAAGCCAAGTCCGTTGAAAAGAATACGGGGAGAGAAACTGAAAAAATTTATTTTCAGGAAAAGGAAAAGAAAAAGGCAGGCAAATTAAGGAAGAAAGAGCCTCTCGTTGGAAAGAGAAGGTGCCCTGTTTTTTTTATTTTGCCGTTTCCTTTTCTTGCCTTTTTTGGGGTTATAAATAGCAGCCAATTTGATCAGTTTTACTCATCCTCAACACCACACACACAACCCACAAAACACATTCACAAGCTACCCCCAGAAATTTCACGTGCTCTGCTTTCTCTCCCTCCATAGCTACCAACCAACCTCTCTCTCTCTGCCTCTGCCTCTGCCTCTGCCTCTGCCTCTGTCAAAAGAAAAGAAAAAAAAAACTTAGCAGCAGTAGCCATCTTCTTCTTGTGTTGGTTATTAGCGGTTGTTTGTTAGCGAAATCCTTATCCTGTTGGTGTCGGTCGGTCAGAGTGGTCGTTGGTGAGGTTACTGTTATATAACTGTCCATCAAACCACACTCAGATAAGGAGAAAGAAAAAAAAAAGATACCTCCTTATTACTTTCTTTCTTGTTGCTATAAACAAACCCATAAAAGCGCTAGCTAGCATGGAAAGCAAGAAGCAAGTTGGCGGTGCTGGCTCCTCTTCTTCTTCTTCATCTTCCTCTTCATTGGATCATCTGTTCGGTCCCAAGGATTCCTCTTCTTCATCATCTTCCTCCAGCTACTTCGGCTCCATCTTCCCCCCTCCTTCCACGGTAATTAAGGCCCCTAATTTCGTTCACCCAATTCGCTACTTTAATTATTTCAAGGAGTTCATCACGCGCTAACTAATTGATGAACTTCCGCCCCTTTTTATTTGTTGTAGATTATGGGAAGGGACGGTACTGGGAGTAGATACGGCGCAACCACTTCTCCTCCAGCTGGTATACATTTCTCCATACGTGTAGAGACATGCAAAAAAAAAAAATTAAAAACAATCATATACTAATGATTTCGTTAATTATATAAAATGACAGAGAATTACAACGCCCGTTATGGAGCTGGGAAGGACCAACACGGCGGCGGAAATGGGACGGCGTCGTATCGCAACGAGAGGACGGTGGAGCCGTCGTGCTACTTCAGCTCATCGATCTACTACGGCGGCCAGGAGAATTACTCCTCTTCTTCCTCCACGCCTCCCCACGCCAGTTCCGCCCGTCATAACACTACTACTGTGAGCCCACTAAACAAGAGCCACGTGTATTGTATACGTTCATTTCTCTTGTTCGTTCGTTAATTAATGCTGTCTGATGTCTGGTTGACACGTGTAACGTAACAGTACAAGAAAGACGGTGGAGGAGATGACGACCCAAATGGCAATAACAACTCTGCTTCCAGAGGCAACTGGTGGCAAGGTACCCAATTACCCATGACTTTTCCACGCAATACCCAATTTACCCATTAAGATCAGTAAACGATATTAACAACATGATGATTTTCTTATCATGCAGGTTCGCTTTACTACTAATCTCTCCTGCTACTACCCCATAACTCGGCACCTATATGATCTAATCAAGGTACCAATCAAGTCTACCGGAATAAACGAATTAAGATGAAGTGGTTGATTTGATAATCGATCGTAACTATATGTATGGAGTCCGCTAGTGAAGAGTCAATATTAGAGACTAGAGAAGAGAAAGACAGAGACAAGTAGTGGATCAATGATCGGCTGGATGCATGAACGGAGATCAATCATCATCGTCGTCGTCGTAGATCGATTCCTGTTGTAGTTTGTTGGGTTGTTTTTGTCCCACCAAATTAGTTGTACTAGTGTGTCTGCTGTGCTGTGTGTGTTCTTTTTTAGAAAGTTCTGTTATGAAATCTAATGTACTATATATCGATCAAACAGTGACGAGGTTTGCCTTTACCGGCTTTATTAACTGACTTCACTTTATGCTCGTCTCTTGTACTCCCTGACTTACTTTATTCTAATAGTACCGCTACTGATGTATCAATGTGCGTTCTAGTTAATTAAAGGTTTACTTTCGCATTACTCACTCCAAAATTTTCAGTTATTTGTATATGGGGGACACTGATGCACTACCACAGGGACGGAGCCAGGAATTTAGGTTAGGGGGGCCGATAAAAATTTTGAAGTAAAATTTATTATGTTATTTATCGTTCAACACAAATTACCAAAATATTGACACATAGAAGTCTATTTTTAACTAGTAGAAGAGCATTGTATAGAAAGGTTGGGGATGAGAAAGTCCGATACAAAGTAAGACAATGGGCAAAGTCAAAAACACTACTAAAATGGAAAACTTAGGTACCAAATCGTAAGGTATGCGAATTTTGGGACAAAAGGTGTACTAAAATGAAAACATTTGGTATCAAATCACACATGCATAACTTGGGATTTAGAAGCAAAATTTCATGAATTTAAACGATTCATGCAAATTTTAGGTACCAAATTGTAAGACAATGGCGAAAAATGTACCAAAATGAAAAATTAGGTACCAAATCATAAAAACATGCAAAATTTGAGGGTAGGAATCAAAATTTCACAAAATTAAAAGGGGCAGATAGCAACCATTGAACCTATGACCTCTCCCTTAAAATTACATGTTACACACCGCTAGACCACAGCTTGTGTTATCCATTGTTGGTGCAAAGTCAGAATTTTATATTTTAGGGGGGGCCATGGCCCCCTCCTTACACGCTAGCTCCGTCCCTGCACAACCAAAGACATAAGGCTCTACAAGTTCACTTAACTTCGGTTATGTTGGAATTTGTCTTTCAAATTTAGTGAAGTGCAAACCGGATTAGTTGCGTATACAAGTTGAATTATAGAGATACCGGAATAAATATAAGAAACATTATGTTCACTGCTCACTGGCAAGAAAAAGAGTTTATAGTCCAGTAATAGAGAATCTAGAGATCATATATACTCGAGTCCTAGCAAATCTCCTATAAAAGTCTCATTTTAATATCCTTTAGTCAGAGTAGTTATAATTAATGATAAACAAACTGGTAGTTTATGAACTTGAAATTTGCAGAGCACTGCATACCATATTTTTTAAGACAACGGTTAATATTAACATTTATGAAGACTTGAATACGTGACATTAAAGACGACAAACAAGATCTTATATCATGTTATAAATCAAATGGTATCCATAATTTGAGTTGCTCGGAGAAGCTCATGTAAGAATTTTACCACTTTATTATTGTTACTGGATATTTTATCTTATCAATAAAAAAAGGGAGGGAGTTTGTGGATGATCGTGCATGAATTGAAGATGTATGTGTGATGAAAACAAAATTGGCAAGAGCAAGAAGAAGTCCCAAGTGCAGTCCTTAAAAGCTAGGCAGCATCAAACGCAATGGTGGAAGTGGAACTACATCTTGCTCATGGTGGGTCCTAGCTTCCCTCAATGTTTAGTTTTAGAAACTGATAGGATTTTTGGTAGATTATTAGCTAGTCTCTTATTAGACTGCTGTGATTTTTTTAATTCTGAGACCAACTCACTCTAAATTCTGATTTGACCACACAACAAATAGCATGCGCTGCAAAAGCTTAATATATAATCGGTCAGTTTGGTGAGCATATATAGGTACCATGAACATTTAGTTGTTTTATCACTTAACAACTTAGTGCGAGTTAGAATTGAGAAATTTATGAGCCTTTAGTCGGAGATCAGGATTTGTTGCTCATATTTGGACGGATAAGTTATGGGTAAATGTCACATTTGGTTACTGAGATTATTAAATCGTATTATGTTTAGTCACTAGAAAAAAATAATCAATTTTGGTCATTCGGATTACTAAAATATGTCACATTTAGTCACTTTCCCGTTAGCCTCCGTTCAACTCCGATCACTCGAATTACTTTTTTTTTTTTAATGAATGTCACTCGAATTACTGAGACATGTCACATTTAGTCACTCTTCCGTTAGTTTTCGTCCAACTCCAACTAACGGGAGTGGAGTTGGACGGAAATTAATAGGAAAGTGACTAAATGTGATATGTTTCAGTAATTTGAATGACAAAAATTGATATTAATTTTTTTAAATGATCTCAGTGACCAAATATCGGTAAGTTATATGAGGCGCTATGGTCGTGGTGGACCAAAGATCTAAGTCCAACTATGTTGTCGGTTACAAGGCCCAATGAAAGAGGGCACCATTAAGCCATACTCGGCCTGAATGAAAGAGGTGGCTGCAACTTGCAAGAATGATGCTTATTGCTATGTGAAGTGTGGTGTTTACCAATTCGAATTCAACAAGATAGTCAAATTCATGGGATGAGTTACCGTCACTTCCCATAGGGATGTGAGATTCACATCCAAGGGCAATTTGGGTATGAAAAAAAAAGAATTTATTATTTATTTATTTTTGTATTAATTACAGATTGGGAATTAAAAACCCTACAATTAATACGCTTATATCTCTCTCTCTTTCTTTTCCAGCAACCTCTTCACTCCGACCGCCAAACTTTCTCCGGCCGACGACTTTTTTCGGTGAAATCCTCCAATCAGACTCGCTCCGGCCATCTGCAAAAAAAACCACTACTTCAATGTGCTAGTGGTACTGATTTTCATCTAGTGGTACGCTACCAGTAGTAGTGGTACGTACTAGTGGTAGTGGTACGCTACAAATACCACTGGTACCGCTACGAGTGAGTAGTGGTACGCTACCACTACCACTGGTAGCGTACCACTACTCACTGGTACCGCTACCACTAAGTACTAGTACGCTACCACTGGACAGAAATCAGTACCACTAGAGAATAACATTAAAAAAAAACAAGATCTGGAATCTGGAAAATCTCATATCTGGAATCTAGAAAATCCCAGATCTGGAAAAAAAATTAAGGAATGAGAAAAGGAAAAGAAAGGGGAGAGGTCGTTACCTCGCGGCGGCGGGAGAGAGATGGCGGTGACAGGAGTTGGAGGGAGGCGAGAGTGCAGCGACGGGGAGAGCGTTATAGCGCGGAGGATGCAACGGCTGCGGCGGGAGGGAGACGGTGGCAGCGGGAGGGAGAGATGACGGCAGTGGCGACGGGAGGGGGTGGCGGCGGCGGCAACGACGACGGGAGGGAGAGACAGAGAGCAGTTAGGGTTCTCGGGAGAGGGAAGAGAGAGAGGAGAGAGGAAGAGTTTTTTTTTAGGAAATCAGATTATATAGAAAATGAGAAAGGATCTTGTGTGGTAAGTTTTTCTCTTCCAAAAATACCCTTCATTAATCTAAACCGTTAATTTAAAAAACCAAGAGATAGAGTGGATCGAATGGCTGCGAAGGAGGAAGCGAAAATCACAACCCCTATTGGGGTTGTGACGCTATCTCAACAAGCAAACCAACCAAACTAGTTCTTGACAAGGACAATCTGTGAAGTCATAGCTCAAACCAGTACTCAAGGTCGAGAACTGTCATGGTGTTTCACAGTTTAAGCTTTAGGGGCTTAAAACTTCATTGGATTCCATCTGAATCTGATTCACTTCTCTAGTGGCCTTACCCAAACCAGAAAGCCAGCAACAGAGGCCAGATATGTCCTTTCCTGTTAGGTTACAGACTCCCTCAACAGCCACTAGCAGAGAGTTAAAATCAACCAAAAACATGACAACCAACTGCACAAGCCAGCCGCAAAGCAGACATTTTTACTTCTTATGATCCAATCATAATTCATTATTTGGGATAGGTCTGGATGTCACAGTAGTAGTACATATATGCTTGAGCTAGATCAACCAGCAAGCAACAAATCTGTAACACTCCAGTACATTAGCACCACTAAGTACCTTAAAACGTTACACCAAGTCACAAAGGTCACCACAGAGTCAACACTTCCAGCATCATAACTTCAAGGCAATGTATAAGCTGCAACATCAAAACAAACGAGCCAACAATCAAATTCATCGCATATTGAAAAACAAAACCGATCAAACGAGAAGGAAACAGAAGGATTTCATCTATACAGCAGAAAACTAACTAACCTCCGCACTTGTAACCCACAGGGCGGTCAGCGAGGTTGCAGCGCTTGGGGATGGACATGGCAACCTCCGGCTTCACGCCAGAGCTCTTAGCAGTGTTGGAGAGCATCACAGCGCAGAGGCAAGCTGGGTTGTGGCCCAGCTTCTTCACCTGAGCACAGCACTGGCTCGAAACAGCAGCATTCTCATCCTGTGCAGCCGATGCACAAGGAACCAGCTTGAAAGCTTCCCTGTCAGGGGTGGTGGATTTCCCACACTCCCCTGCTCCATCCACAGCAGCAAACCCAGATATTCCCAGAAACACAGCAAACACAACAAGGCAAATGCAAGACTTCATTGAGACAGCAGCCATTGTTACTTTCTCTCCTTTTTCTTCTCCTCTCTTTCTAATTTCCTTTTCTCTTCACTCTCAACTACACTGCTACTTGTTTGCTACACGGTTAGAGCTAGTAATCGTTGAGAGGTTTTATAGAGGAAGCGAGGGGAATGAAAATTGCTAAGATGCTTACACGTTGAACTCCATAAGCATCATAGTGGAGATAGCACTATGAATGAGGGTGAAAAAAAAAATTTGCTTAATTGAGCTACCTACTGCTTTCCACCATGGATTCTAGAACAGCATGCGTGGCTTTCTGCAAATTCTTATTAAACTAGCAATGGCGATCACAGCAATCCGAAACAGCTTCTAATCACAAAATGACAGCATTTATCAATCGCCCCAGCCAGACCCACATAGCATCAAATTAAACCCATATCCAAATACAAATCCTTTCACGCTTCTGCGCAATGCACATAACATGTTCGATCTATTTCCCCAGTGAAACTAAAAGGTAAAACCAGAGAGAATAGATCACGCCTCTGGATCTAAACCAAAAGGATGAAATCTAACAACAAAACCGGCCCACTACTAGCGAGTGAAAGCGTAGAGAACCAGGGAAGAGTAGATCAAGATAGCAACGGGAACAAAAATCACCAGAGGGACGACTGCGGCGTAAGTGTGGGAGCTGCCGCAGCTCAACGTCCCGAGCTTGAGTTGAACCACGTTGACCAGAGCCAGCATCAGAAACACGCACCCGAAAGCAGATCCGATGCCGGAGATGAGCATTCCGATCCGGAGGAGGTTCTTGTTGACCTGGCCCAGGAACTCGGCGGGGAGATGGAAAGGGTTGTTCTGGGTGATGGAGTAGCCGGGTGTCCGGGAAATCCGGATTGCCTGCTTGAGAGCGAGCGCGACCAAGCTGGAGAAGAGGAAGCAGCTGAAGGAGTAGACGTGGAAGGAGATGAGAGCCTCGCCGACGCTGCGGCCGGCGGTGCAGGCAGTGTCGGTGATTAGGGTGTCGGAAGGGCTGGTCGGGTTCCAGGCGAGGCCGACGAAGACGGCGAAGGTGAAGAGGGAGTTGACGTTGACGATGCCGTCGAGCGCCGTTATCTGAATGCTGGTCACCATGGTTGCTTGCTGGTTGAACGGAGAGACGGAAAGATCGGAGAAATGGAAGCGAATTATTTGCGGTGGTTGTCAGAAGATTAATGTTCGTATTAGTTAGGACTTAGGGTAGTTAGGTGACAAGGCTTTTCTTTTGTCGCTCGTAGAAATAGGAAGTTCGAACTTCGCCGTTACCCATCACAAAAAAAAATAAAAACGCCGTTGCCGGGGATCGAACCCGGGTCACCCGCGTGACAGGCGGGAATACTTACCACTATACTACAACGACCTTGATGTTAACTTGCATTCCGGTTTATTTTAAAATTAAATAACACACTAACTTTGCCCTTTCTTGAAACAGAACAGAACTACAGAAGGAATGATTTATAGCTAATAATAACAATTTTTCAACTCATGTATTGTTTTCAGTTTTTGAGAAACTCATGAATCGATGGATTCTATCCGAATTTGTATTTTGGTAATTGGTTTGCTTTCTCTAAATGATTATCGAATACAATTATCATTGATTTGAAAACATTAGTAAGGGTGACATTCCAAAGGCCATATGATCCATATACATCATTTTGGTATATCTTTGACTTTTTTGTTATTGTAGTTTTTCTAATAGATTATTTACATTTACAAAGAGATTAGCCGATTGTCTAATGTATAACTTGCATTTTCTGCCACCTTATTTTCATGTCATTAATGTTTTGAATATTTTATATTGCTCAATAAACTTTATAAAACTCTACCAAGTGATTTCACCCGCCATCATATTATTGGATGAGAGAATTTGTAATTACACCTGTTTTCATAGGAAATTTTTTCGGTTAAAATTCTTTCTTCTTTCCTAATCCTCTTGTATTGATCCCATCACCACTAACCTTAAGTGTTTCATTTCTTTAATCGTTAGGCTCCATCTTCAATGATAAAATGTTTTCCACCAAAACTTATATAAAAATTGCAGACTACCATCTAATGTTAAATTGGAATTGGCGAACACACAGTCTCATTAATCATAACATTTTGCAACCCCTAATTATTTAGGTAATTCAATTAAATGAACATTTACTAACATCAACGGGCATTTGGTCTAGTGGTATGATTCTCGCTTAGGGTGCGAGAGGTCCCGAGTTCAATTCTCGGAATGCCCCCAATTTCTTTTTTGGTTCACAACAACGAATAAAAAGTACCTGGTTGTGTTAAAGGTTACAGGCCTTTTCTGTTTTGCACAAGGAAGGAGATTAGGAGAAAGGTAGTCGTAAAACAAATGAATGAACGTTCATACAACGGTAATTGTGTCGATATAAAAACCCATACAACGAAACTCAAGCATATTTCCTAAGATGATCACAATCCTAACCCCAATCATATATTGGAAAGAACTCAAGATACACTATACTTGGCGACATTCTGCTGTGGTTTGTTCTCATTCTGGCGTGCCATGGAGATCTTCTCGTGAGATCTCCGTTCTACGCATGATGATGCGTCAGTTGTGTTGCCGCAGACTTTCGATTTCGTGTCAACGCCAAGATAATTTGTCAACACCCTCTTCACTCCAAAGCCACGGCGTAGATTCCGATTAACATTGGTCGTGGCGGCGATGGTATTGGTGGTGTTCACGAACGGAGTCCTCTCCCCTCTTGCAGGGCTGACAAGGGAAGCAGCAGGCGAGAAGCTTGGCGTGCTGCTGACACTTGCTTTGTATGGAGTGCCAAGAGAGAACGGGATTGAGAGCTTCTTCTTGTGTGAAATCACACTCACTGTTGCCACGGATGAGAGTTTGTTCTCTGAGCATTTCGTCAGATCATCTACATATAGCAAATCGTCGATGCGGGCAACGATGTTGAATGCCAAGCTCTCCAGTACTCTTGAGTAGCTCTCAAGTATAGATTTTCCCACATCCTGGAAGTGTTGACCATAAAGTTAGAAAAGAGTTCAAAGTAAGAGATTGAGTAAATGGAAGTTCGTCCTTGATGGTTCACCTTGTTGAATTGGATTTTGCTGGTGTCTAGTGTAGTCTGAGTTAGACTAGGAAACCGCTGCTTCAAGGAAAGCAAGAGGCTTTCAGCTCTTTCTGCAAGCAATTCCCTCCTGTTATCGCCATCAATCATCAAATCCTTCACCATTTCCCACGATGTCCTGGTAGTGGACCGGTTTTGGAGTGTGGGAGGTTTCGGGTGATGAGCTCTTCGTCGCCATACATAAACTGCGGATTCAACCCGGTTCGCAAGGTCCAAGGCAACGTGTTCAGAAGAAAGGTCAAGGCTGTCGAGCAGGCAGTCAGTAGAGAACTGATCTGAAGTGATGTACCGGTATACAAAGTCTCCAAGACAAGCTCTCCCATTCTGTGAAATTGGCAAAAGTCCATTTTTGAGTCGTTGCCATAGTTCCAGGTCAAGGGTAAGCTCTATCATTCATTTGCTTTAAATTTGTGTTCATACCTTGGGAAGGGACTCCAAGAACGAGTCAGGAACATCCATTTCGACTAAAGCAGTGGCATTGATCGCCAGTGCAGCTTTGAGTATCTGATTTGTGCACTCACGAGTGTGGTTCAGCTGCTTTCTTGAGTTGTCACTTAGACCACCAGCTGGAACTCGTGGCACCGGTAGCCACCACTTGTCCTCTTGCCGCTGAATCGTTTTTCTGAAGGAAGCTGAGCCATCTGCATCTGTCGCTACAATCCCTTGATCCACGTACCAGAACTCTGTGTCTGTGAAACTGTCTAGCACTTCCTGTGAAATGAAGGTGAAAACAATAGGATTGAGACTCAGGCGACGACTATATGGGTTTAGGGAAAAGCAGGTCAAGGTAAAATCAAGGAATGTCTGTCTTACAAGAAGCATATTGTCAAGCTTCCGTAGAGCTGGGAGATTGATGAAAAGGTCTGATCTGGGTCTGCAAGTCATGACCTGTAAATGGAAGATAAAGAAATCAGTACACACATCCAAAGAGCACCAATTCTTCCATTGATTAAACTGAATCATTACGCTGCAAATTTGAATTTTAAAATTAACGTTACAATAAGAATTACCTCAAGCTTACTGCCGTCAGCATAAGTTTGCCAAGAAGGAATTAACTCTACTATGTGATCGCCAACACAGAGAAGCACTTCAATCTCCCTTCTCCACAATAATTTCTTTTCAGGAGCCATTGGCTCAAGCCTCCACAGTTGCCCAAAAACAGAAGCTACAAGATGCCGCAAGCGAAATCCCAGTAAGCAAAACACGAAAGGAAAGGCCCTACAAAAAAGGGAGAGGGAGAGGGAGACATACCACAGAGATTGGTAATAGCATTGGAGATAGCCATAGCTGTGCAAACCCCTTTCCCAGAACCTGACATGTCTTCTCCAAGCAACAATTTTGCAAACCTCTCCTTCATCAAATCCGCATCTGCAAAGAAATTCAGACCAAAGTGTAAAATGGGCAGGAAAAAAGTTAATCAATTATGCAAATCAACTCGGAGAACACCGTAAAAAAGGGGAGGAAAAAAACAAAACAGAAAAAGACCAGAAAACCTACCAGAATTCCTGGAGTTGAGCTTGTTTAACTTTGAATCCTCTAACCAACTACCATTCTCCTCATCTCCTCCAATGGCACCGCCAGATGACAATAAGCTCTTCCTCTCTCCAGCCTTCTTTATCGGCCAACCCAAAGGAGGCTTAGAAGGAGAAGAAGGAGAACCACACGGCCCAACACTGCTCCGCCTTCCCTCAACCTTGGAGCTCAATTCCCCACAGCTGATACTGCTCACCGCAGCAGAGTCAGACCCATCCCTCCTCTTCTCAATTCCCCCGCTGCCCTTCTTCACCACAGTCGCCATCCCTTCAGAAATTTTCAAAAAGCAACAATCTTTGGCAACCACCCCAAAAGCACAGATTCGTCAAAGATTCAGCTCGACCATTCTTCAAACAGTTGGCGAGCGCAGCAAAGTGGGACAACACCAGCCACCACTAGGATCCGTTTTCGCTTTCAATTGCTTGCTGCTGATGGGCCGGTGCTAGCATTTGAGAAGGCAGATGTGCGGTGGGTCATATCATATCCCAATTTGGTGACGGAAAGGGGAATTCAGACTCCGGTTGGGGTTTTCTCTCAGTATGGTCTGGTGTAATTCTATTCCCTTTGTCGCTTTCTCTCTATCTCTCTCAGAGTTATGGCTGGGACAGAAATTTGATTTTGAAGTTGGAGAAGAAAGTGAAGAAGAAAGGACGGGTGGTAGTAACTGGCAGAGGGAGCACATGCGGTTGGGTGAGATGGCTTAACGTCTCTCTGTGTTGTGTTGTCCGCCTCTGAGCTTAGTAGCTGCTCTCTCAACTGTGGAAAAGAATATTAAATTTCAAATTTAATGATAAAAAAAGAAATTCAAACTAGGTGGCTGTGGCCGGCCGGACAGCGTCGACGGAAGGTGTTATTACCAAAGTTGCGCTTTTTCCCCCAAACCCAATAAAAAGTGAATTGATGAACCTCGTAATTCCTGGTAAATCCTCGCCTGTTTCTGCTATTTAATGATCGATGGGTGGAAAATGTACTACGGGGTCGTTTGGATGAGGAATTCTAATGGATCAATCTGATACAATTGTCTCGTTTGGATTGCTGAAAGCAAAATCGTTTTTCGTACATCTTGTGTTGACAGAACTACACAATGAAATGGTGTTACTACATGCAAATGTTTGGTAAAATAACTATTTTTGCATCTTGCCCAACTTGAGTTATCGTCGATGGAGAAAAAGGTCAACAGGAGGAAGTATTTGTAGCTGAAGTGATAACGTAGTTGTCAAGTAGTACCCAAATCTCTTTAGTTTGTATTTTCCCCCTTTGACATGTACTTTCTTCAAACCCAAGTTTTTCTTCTTCTCTAAACTGTAGAGCTCAACTGATGCATTGTAGCCACTAAGGTGATTAGGGTTTTTCAACACAAAAGTGTTGTTAGCATCTGCCCAACTCTGCACTATGCTAGGTTGCAGGCAAAATTTGATGTGATTGTGATTGTTGGTTTCGGCTAGAATGTTGAGGTCCCGTGCTAAATGTTAAGGCCCCTGTACACCCGTAAAATTTTCTAAATACTAATTTCGTTCAAATTTTGTGCATTTTTAGTGTTTGGTGGAAAGAGAGTTATCAACGTATCTATTTCAACGGTTGGGTAAAGTGATAGTGGATCAGTTTCTGAATTACAACACAAATGAGCAACATACGAGTTTGGTGGTGTTATTAGATTGAAATGTTCTACTCTATCATCTTCAATGATTTTAGTATTTAACCATTTCTTCGAACTTAAGGTGTCTTGTTTTTTCTTATGGGATCGATACGGGATACTTCTTCACCAACTTTGAAGTTGCATTCCATCCCTTTGAAACCTAACTTACGGCTCAATATAGATAATAGAAGACTAATTTTATTAAATAATATATTGTCAACTGGAACTCAGATTGATACCAACCGTTTGCTTCTCCTACTATTCAAAATGAAATAATTGGATATGCACAAGTCCAAAAAAAGAAGTGGCTGCTCATCATCTTTATACTATCGAACATTGATGACTCCGTGAGAAAAAGCTTCAGCGCATTTGAATCAAGGGAGAAAAGGTTGCATGCTAGTGCGGCAGTGCCCACGAAAAGATCCCAAGCTGAGAAATTATTATCCAATCGTTATTTTTGAAATTGAACAATTAGGAGAAACATGGACACACTTTTAATCAAAATTATGATATTCAATCTATAATAATCACTTTCGAAAATTCACTCATTTTTGTTGTTAAGGACAATCAATCTATTACTGATGCCTCATTACTTCCATCGCCACAAAAAAAAAAAAAAAAAAGAGCACCCCGTTATTCCACCTAGATACCTAGGGCCTGCTCATCATTTTTATATGTGTAGTGTAGGCCAACTTTTCTCAAAGGCAACGAATAAACTTTTTGTCTGGTTGGTTAGTTAATCAATTTGGTATAGCAGTTCAAAATTATTTGTTTGATTTCAGGCGGCGGTTGATTGCCGTCCATACCCTGTTGTTATTATTATTTTACTTTTCAACTCTGACCTCTTTTCAGTGTTGATGTTGTTTTAGAGTCCTAATTTTTTTTTTAAAAGATATCATATATATTAATCCAAAAGAAATAGATAGTTACATCTTGGAAATAAGCCAGGTCCGAAAATCAAAGACACCACTCATAGTCGGAGACAAAGAGAGGGCTTTCCTAGCTACCGAATGAGCTACCCTATTGTTCCCCCGACCTATGAATCGCACACTAAACCCAAGATGGATGCGAAAATAATGAACTATCTCTTCCAACACAGCACCCAACCGGCTATCACATGTATCCCCTTGATTAATCTTATCAATAATGATCTTCGCATCGCCCTCAAACCGGACCCTAGACAAACCATACTCCAGACACCACATAATTGCCTCTCGAAGCACCAGCAACTCCACCACTGCAGGGTCATCCATTTGAGGGAACTGCACCCCTCTTGCCATAAGAAGTGTCCGTTCTGGGTCCAAAAGGACCATCCCCCCCCCCCCCCACCCCGCCGAATGCGACCCGCTCCTTGTGGCCCCATCCCACATGCAGACCAACCGCACCACATCCCCTTGAGCAACAGACGGAGTCACCTCCCTAGTCATCCTAGGACTTGGTTCTGAGGGCAAACCCACCTATTCCTCATACTGCTGACGAAATTGACGCATGAGCGCAGGGATCCCAAACTGTTTGCCTTCAAAGACAACCCAATTCCGGGACCTCCAAATTCGCCAAAGGATGGCAACCACAGCCATAAACAAAGGAGGTTGATGGATCAAGGCCAGCAGCCGCTTGAGAAAAAAAAGGGAAGGTATGACGAGGCAATCTCTCCCCCAAGTATTCCAACCCAGAGTAGTCCCAGAAGGCGCGAGCAACCGAACAATAAAAGAACAGATGTTCCATCGTCTCCGGACTATCCCAGCACACTGGACATCCACTAACCAGTAACAAAAAAAATTGATTAAATACCGACGAAGCTAAAGCCTGAATAAAGGCTGATTAACGGCAACGGCTACAAAATTGCTCAACGAAAGGGGAAACGTGTAGCTTTGTGGCCGCCAAAAGCTAAAGAAAAAGCTTGCTCATTTGTTTGTTGACTTTTGATGTCCAAACTCCAAACAATGATTAGTATCTTATTATGAGGTCCCTTCCTTACTTATCAAAATTTGAAATATTAAGCATTAATATTTACTCACAGAGAGCAACGGTGAACTGTGTTACACTCTATTTAGACTCTTTAAAGATGTTTATAGTACGAGGGTATGACGAAGTTTATTTAATCATATTTTTTGTCACTAAATTTATTTTTATTTTAAATGCAATATACAAGTTTGAGATTCGGTAGCATTATGTAGACACAATTAAAAAAAATATTCATTGATAGTTGTTAATTTACTTGTTAGATTGAATTTGTTTTTGTTTCAAATACAAATACTAATCTACATAAATTTGATAACACTGGATTCATAACGGGTTTGATCTTTGTTGTTTCCAACCAATAGTTCATCCTTCGTAAATCAAATCAGTTCGTGATTACCAGAATGTACTTTGATTCAACAAAGGCCAAATGAGTTCATTTTCTCAACCCCTTTGGTGCAAGCAACCTTGTTAGCACAATGCATGTTCGTATGTGTTCATTACAAAAATACGAAAAATGATACAAAATTAACCTAGAAAGACGATAATGTAGCCGTTATCGTATCATGTTCCTCCACAGAAAGCAAAGCATGGGAAAAGGCCCAACCAAGCTTTACCGAAAAGCAAGCTTCACCACCTTTCCGAATTTTGAAATTTGAGGCCCGTCCGTCCATCCTTTTCAGCGCGATCCCGTTGTTGTCTCTTCTGTTTACATTCGATTCGGACCAGTGCTTTCAAAACTCAAAATTGGACCACTTCGCCGGTGGAGCGAAATAAAATTTAGCCACTTCGAACCAATCCACTCAAATTATGGGCCCTGCATTTATCGCTCCACCACCCTTTTCTGTCCATCACTTTCCAGATCTATGACTGGACTTAATGCCCAAAACTCTTACCGAACTTTTTTCTTTGGGGTAGAATTATGAGCCCTAAGTCTTGCCATCTCAGTGGGCCACTTTCTAGCTGGGCAGTACAATTTGATGTGTGCTTATGGCTTCCCCAACTTCGGTCCGTGTTCTCATGGGCTCAGAACTCACGGCCCAAACCTCCTCGATAAGAAAATACTCAACTGAGGATGAATTTCAAAAATATACATGTTTTTTTAAAAAAATTCCCAAAATACACACGTTATGAAAAAAAATCCCAAAATACGCATGTTTGGGCATCACCGCGGCAGACCAAAGCGGTGAATGCATCACCGCGGTTGACGGCCGCAGTGAAGGCCCGACTTAACTCTGAAACTTCAAACAAACGTAACTTTGCGCTCGGTTATCCGATTGTAGTGAAATTTTTTTTGATTCCATATAACTTTTCAAGATCTTTCAATCTGCAACAAGACTTTATCTCAAAAAAATGTCGTTTGTTACCCCGAACGAGCAATTTTTTGATTTTTCCAAACTTTGGAATGACATAACTTTTAGCTACTCAATCCGAACGTCGTAAAGTTTTTTTTGATTGTGCATAACTTTTTAAGAACTACAACTTTGACTAGGAAATAATCTTTTAAAAAAGAAGTATTTTTGGGTGTACGGGATTTTGGAAATAACTTTGCATTTACTTTTCAACAATCCACATACTTTCCAAAATTATGGTTATAATAAAAGTTGTAGTACTTCAAAAGTTATGCAAAATCAAAAAAAGTTTCATGACATTCGGATTGTGGAGCACAAAGTTATGATCTTCCAAAGTTTGTTAAAATCGAAAAACTGCTCGTTCGGGGTAGCAAATGATTTTTTTTGGGGATGAAGTCTTGTTTCAGATTAAAAGATCTTGAAAAGTTATATGGAATCAAAAAAAAATTCGCTACAATCGGATAACCGAGCGCAAAGTTACGTTTGTTTGAAGTTTCAGTGTTACGTCAGGCATTCACCGCGGCCGTCAACCGCGGTGATGCATTCACCGCTTTGGTCTGCCGCGGTGAATGCATTCACTGCGGTTGACAACAGCGGTGATGCCCAAACATGTGTATTTTGGGAAATTTTTTTATAACGTGTGTATTTTGGGATTTTTTCCCTCAACTGACGACCGACAACCAGCAATCACAGCGGCTTCCAAGCGCCTATTGCACTGCGAGGTACGGGTACCTCAATATTCATACGCCGTCTTAGACTAATACGGGTCGGGGTGGGTAATATTTGCGGGGCGGATCGACCAACTCTTACATACTATTTGAAAGCAATACACTCAAAATTTTACGATAAAATATTGGAGAAAAGATTTCGTGAATGAATAATAGTGATAATATAATGAGTAATTGAGTTTATCTATTTAAAAGATCAAATTTAACTAGTTGAAGAACATCCAAAATATGAGATATATGAATGGATGATGTAAGAAACGACCATATAATAGAACTGGGCGGGTGCAGGTCGAAAGTTGATGCCCATATCCTTCCCCACACAACTGCAAATCGAGTAATACCTATTTCATCGCATATCAGATCGAATAATATCCAGACAAGACGGGTTCAAATCGCCATACCTACTCACAGCTCACTCCGCCGCCCAAAACCCAACAAACGAAAATTTGATCCACCGAAAAAAGAAAAATCTGAAGGCGAAACGTAGAACGGTAGAGAAGAATGTATTCAAACCGAAGCCAAGATGAGCAGTCCCCTGCCTGCAGCCGGAACTCCCCTGAGTTCTTCACCTTTTTAATTCCCTCCAATTCTTCTTCTTCCTCTTCCATCTCCTACGTCGAATCGTCCGTTACTGAAGAACGAATGAAGGTAAAAGTTAAATCTCTTTCGAATCCTTGTTTTTATCTTCCATCATCAGCTGTGCATCTGTTTCGAACTTCTTCGTTTTCTTTTGGGGGAATCGCCTCTGTTCGCTTTTCTCCGCCCTTGATCGAGTTCTGGTTTTTTTGCTATTTGGGTAACGCGATACCGGGTGATTCCAATTTACCATCCTTGATTGGATTCGTGACTTTGTTCGCAAATCTGCAAGCTTTTTGTATGTATCAATCAAGTTCTTTATCGTTTCCATTGAGCCAATTCGATTTCTGTTGCTGGGTGCTGACGGTTCTGTATTGATTTTCTCCATGGTTTATTCGATTGACCTTTGGCTAATCTGAATGAGCGGGTTTACTTGTTTGCTGTGATAATTCTGTTCACAATTCGATCCTAATGGAATGTTGGTGAATTTGATCTTATCAGGCGGAATTTTGTAAACGAGCCGAGAGTAGAGGACTTTTGGAATATACTCCTGATTTGATTCTTCCGGATCAGTGGATGATCATCGACCATACTGGTGTTTGCTGTTCTTCTGTGTCTACCGATGTGGCCTTTGCATGTTCTGTTCAGCAAGTTACTCAATGTAGAAGCTGTAGAAGATGAAGTTATAGATGGTTTAGTCAGGAAATGGGAAGACAAAGAATTGTCCCTATCACACTTTGTTAAAGTAAGTATTGTACCATCAGACTTGTTGAGAATATGTTTTTACACTAGGGAGTCTGTACCTTACCTTTCCTGTCATGGTTGCATACAGGTGCTACATATAAACCAGCTTCACTCTTGGGATTGTGGTCTGGCATGTGCTGGCTGCTGCCTGCTGCTATGGTTTTGAATGCAACTGGTGTCAATGATTGCAGCATCGATCGATGCTTTAGCAGACATGTGCTGCACAACTAGGTATGATTATACTATGTTTAATCAGAGATTTTATTATATCATAATAACAAGGTTCTTCCTTTAATTTTTCATCCCTTAGCTAATTACCAAATTTCCAACCAATTTAAGGGGTGTTTTGGAATTGGAAGTCTGAAGATCTGTTTCGGGAAGGAAGCCTTTTTCTTCAATTTGTTCATGTGGATCTTTATAAGCTCCAATTTATACAAATCAAACTCTGTGATCTAGTTGATGAACCAATTTTCGAACTTCAAAATTTTAGGAAGAATGAGAGAATTTCATCCAAATGCTTAGAAGAAGTGCGCAAGTCGTTCGGAACGGACGAAGATCTTATTGTGGTGAGCTTTTTATCCTTTTCATCCCACCACCAAAGAAATCAAATCTGCCATGTCCAGTGTCTAGTCAGTGAAGTGGCTAACAAGTTCTCACCTGGGTTCCATTTCTTCGAGCAGATATCTCTGGAGAGCAGCATCAAACAGAAGAACTGTTGTTGGAGGAAAATTCCTCCTCCTCCACTCATCCACACATAATAATTCCATTGACATGTCATTCTTCGGTGTTAACGATGAACAAACAAACAGGTTGGTACCAAAGTCCAAAGCACATGTGATCTGTCCATATGATAAACCTTTCCCTTTTGGCCACTTTTTAAGCACAGTTTTGCTTTCTTCCCTTTTTTCTGTTACTTGTATGTATGCCCATAAGAATTCATACAGATAACGTCCAAAAATGTATTTGGGAAGTGAAGTAATGTACAAAAAAGGATAAACAAAATAAAAGAGCAGAGGCCTCTGATCATGATACCGGCTACAGTCATGTCGCTGTTGTGCTGTGCCATATAATACCAAAGACGAAGCTGATTCCGTGAGGATTCTTTGAATCCAAACCCCAATTGTTGTGTTCTTTTCAGTTCCTCTGTTATTTTATGTTGTGTTATCCATAGGGGTGTCAATTCGGGTTCGGTTTTTCGGGTTTACCCGAAACCGACTCGATTATATACAGTTTCGGTTTTTGGGTTCGGGTTCGACTCGAGTTTCGGGTTTTCGGGTTCGGTTTTGATTTTCGGTTTTTCGGGTTCCGGCTAAAAACCTCCAACGAATGGAACTCAGCCCGTATTTTTAGGCGTTCGGGTTTTCGGTTTTTGGTTTTCTTTTAACCGAACCCGAATCCGATAAGAAATTTTCGGGTTTCGGGTAACCGGAACCCGCAAGTCCTTGTCGGGTTCGGTTTTAGTGATTTCGGTTTCGGGTTTTCCGATTTTCGGGTTGGGTAATCGAACCTGAACCGAACCGACACCCCTAGTTATCCATTCTCCATTTAGTTCAGGGCCTGGCCGACATAGGGGTTCCTTTTTTGTTCGATGAGGATACTAAACCGACTAGGGTGCTTTTAGTTTGTTTGAGAAATTGGGATTAACTGTTTCTAATCATGTTAGTGTGTTAGGACACCTAATTACGAAGAATTTTAGTATCATGGTCCAACTAAGATCCAGTCCTGGTTGGAAAAGAATTCAATGATGGACCATATATGTTGATCGTTGTTTAGGCTGGATTGACAATAATGTTGTACGAGGTCATAAACAATAAGTGGCTCAACTACTTTGCTATCACACCCTTGAAGACAACTCCACCAATTCCTCTACCCATTATCGTGAGACTGGATCAGGTTTTAGAAGATAGTGGTTAATACTTGTTGGCTAACGATCCTGAAATCATGTTATGGTGTCATCAATGGTCCTTCCTTCTTGTTGAAGGCTAATCAAGAATGAAATCACGGTTAATTTCACGATGGGTCGGACTCGAAAACAAATTGACATTTTGGATGACCATGATTTCTTTCTTTCTTGTTAATTTCTTTTCCCTAGAGTTAGAGATTTAGCATGATGAAATGTCATACACATGAAAACTGCAATGCTAACACTCAGTTGTCGCATCAAATGTTGTCTTTTATGTTATTAGTTATTACAAATCGAAAATTAACTACAACAATCAGCTTCAAATGTAGACTATTTCAGTCTTGGCTAATTTAATTTCGGATGGCTTTTATGATGTGAAAAACTCCATATAATTTTCGTTGAAAAAATATCATATAAGGAACCGTCTGCTTTACCAAAATAAAAAATAAGTAGGAGTGTTCACAACAAAAAGGAAAGCATTCACAAACCATTGCACACATCTTTTGATTCCTAGGAGGAGAAGCTGTCCTCCTGGGTGGATTTGCTGTTGTTGTTGTGGGCGCCTACCAGACAATGGTGTCGCCGGCTCTTTGGGTTCATATGGTGCCAGAAGGTGTGGAGTGTTTTAGTTAATTATGTTTATTATATGAAATACCACTAGTGAATAATTAACACTATACTCAGTAAAAGTCTGACAAATCAAATTTGAAGTATCGGTATATTTAAAATTCGATGTTTTGGAAACAAAAAATCTACATGATACAACAATCAACAACAATAACTAACCTCTCATCACTAAACTATGGCACGGAATAGTAACCAATAGACCACAAAGTGAGCTCCATTTCATGTGGGAAATTAATAAATGTGAGGGTCCAAAACATGCCAAGGCAGCTTGGGTTTGGGGAAGTGGATGGAGTGAGGGCCAAAAGGATTTGATTGTTGGTGGCGAGGAAGCGCGTGATGGCCTTAAATGCCAAATAATGTTTGATGTGCCTGCCAAATATTTTTGGGGCGAGCGGGTATGGTACTTCAAATCAATGCTACTCGTGATCATATCATAGGCGACGAATAGCAATGCCCTTAAAGGATCAATAAAGGTCAATAGCATAAATGATCACTTCAATTTGGAGTTGCTAACAAATTGGTCACTAACGTTTACATTTTAATAAATTAGTCACTTGCGTTTTAATTGACTAACGCATGACTAATTATGTCAACCTCCATCCACTTACCATCCAAATTTGCCCCATCATCAAGCCAGGTCACTAAAATTTATACTTAAAAAAACTGCTTGGCCAACCCAAAGCCGAACATGACCAATCTAAAACCCTCTAACCAACATGATCCAACCCAATTTTCTCTTTCTCTCATCTCGTGCATCTCTTAACACCAATAAAAATGCAATTAAACTTCATCGAAACGAAGTGTTTCTAACATTTTATCTTTTGCATATGATAAATATGTCATAAGTTGATTTAGTTGTGTATTCAAAAAATTCAAATTTTTTATTTTCGAGTATGTTAATTGGACAAGTGACCTATTTAACGGTTCAAAATTCGCGTGTGGCCAAATAAGGAAATATGGTACATAGTTCGGGTCAGAAGAGTAATTCCATAAACCACGGGCCAAAATGCGAAGTTTTTGTATAATGGCAAAGTAAAGTATTAATCCAATGAACATTAACTCAACTCCGACATTAATTCAAGTCAAGTCATGGGCTAAGATATGTTGTTCCGAAAGTGACAACCTACACAACTGTGCAAGTGTAGATCCGATCGAGAGGGCAATCCAAAAGGCAAGCCAGGCCCAGCAGCCATCCTTCCGCGAGTACCGCCTAAAGTCCCACCTCCTCTCTCTCTTTCGGCGGGAAAATCAAAAGAAATTTGCGGCAACTTGAAGCAAAGCCCGCCAACAATGCCCTGACCAACCTACGCAAAATCTTCTTTTTCTTTATTTAAAATTTGTTCACTCTGATTTTTTCTTCTCCTTTTCGTTTTGGGCATTGGCTACTAATGAAGTCAATGAACACAACACACCCTAGCAACATCCATTCTTTCTCGAAGCACATAATATCTCAACTCTAGGAATCAATACATACCCTAAGGCCACAGGTGAAAAATGAATGACTAGAAGCAAATTCAGCTCAATCTGAATTCGCTTATGTTCCAAAACACACAACTTGTAATCGAAACCATTCATTTGGGTAGCTGGGGCAAGCCATCGATTTCACACTGTCAACTTACCCCAATTTACAGTAGGTTTCATTGAAAAGCCAGGCCAGAGCAGGGAGACATGGGGAAGGGTAGAAAGCCAGAAGGAGGGGGGTTGGGAATTGGACAAAGTCATTGATTACATAGTGCTGAGGCTCATAACTTCTTTTTCTGGGATAGGTGAATTTCTCTCCTTGGGGCAGCTCTAGGGTTGTAAATTGAGACGATTGAGTAATGGTGGAAATGGCATTTGCATGAATTTGGTGCATTATTATTGTTGTCTAAGCAATTATGCAAGACTGGTGAAGTGCATCGATCATCATCATGTCAATGAAATGAGCAGCTTCATTGCAGTTTTGGTGTGTGTGGGTTTTCTTTCTTTTTCTCTTTTGTTGCGGTGGTGAAAAAAGGGGATGCGGTGAGCAACAATAATTATGGGCATGTTGCAGTTTGGAGAGTGTTGAGTGTGTGTGTATTGCCGATCATGGCAATGGATTATGCATGATTTCTGGCTTTGGTATATTGCTCACGCAAATGATGCCCTTGTCTCGGGAGAAGTCAATGACAAATGATGGTAAAAATATGACTCGATTATCTCCATATTAAGGCATTTTTTGTAGGCTTGTCAGCTTCAATCACCTTTTATTTTTTTGTGATTGTTCCGTTTTTATAATCGTAATTACAATAAATTTTATAGCTATGGAACTCCACTCTAATTACCTTTTTAGAAAAGGAATCTATGTGTTTCTCTCTTCAATATTCCCCAAGGTTGTCATGCTGCAATCGAGTCGGTCGGTTAGATTAGGTTTGGTTAATGACATTGTATTGAAAATGGTTTGGCCAAGTGGTCGTGTGTTCGAATTTTCACGACCTCCAATAACAGTTGTCTACAAGCACATGGTATGGCTGGCCTGTGCAAACTTCAAGCCCATGAGTCCTCCCAACAACTTGAGTTATTGAGACTAACTAGTTTATGACAACAGACATAACCCCACTCCAAAGGCTAATCCAATTTTAAAATAATAAAAAAAATCTACACACCTTCATCCATGGATAATTAGAAAACCCCACCAAAAGTAGGGCAAGAGAGGGAATAAGAAAGAAAGAACAACAAGACGAGAGAGACACACAAAACACGGGACCGGGTTGTGTTTAACTATACCCGGCCGGCCCGTCCCCCACCCACGCCACACCCAAATGTGATTAACCGACAACTAATTACCAATCAGGAGCTTAATAATATTAATAAAGTAAACGATAGGAACCAAATTAACGTGAATGAATGATTAATAATATAAAGACACGTAGTAATGAAGTGGATTAATTATCAACACCACAACTGGCGAGTGGCGGGTGGGGTTGAATTATCTCCTTAAAAGAACAAGTTACAACTTTACTGTTTGGTAGAGTCACGTCCTAACACTGTTGTTCTTTGCCAGATTGTTACTGAGTTCTCGTTTGTAATCATTGCTTTCCTCTCTCTTTTCTCTCTGCTTTTTGCCTGGGTTGCTTCGCCAGCGACTTCACTACTTTAGTAAAGTGGCTTTTTAGTTTTTACTGACAACAAAGACTTTTCTTCCTCAGCTCTCTCTTTTTTGTTTTTCTGTCCAACTTTTACTTGCCCTTCCCCTCTCTCTCTCTCTCGCATACCCCTTCTCTTTCACCCACTCTCCTCTCTCTCTTGAAAAGAAGAAAATTGACAGAAAGAAAACTCTCCTGTAACGTGAGAAGGAGGAAGAGGAAGAGGAAGAGGAAGAGGAAGGAAGATCCGATCAAGAAGACGACAGGGAAGGAAGGATCTAGCCGGCGCGCATTACGGAGAGACGTGAATGGCGATGGCGGCAACGGGAAGGCCAGCGGCCAGTTACGGTCCCAACTCCCAGCGATGACGAGGAGTAGAGAAGACTTTCCAGTTTCCACTCCTTTTCTCTCTCACGCAGCAGCAGAAGAAGGACAAAAGGAGGGTGGCAAGAAAAGCTCTCCCTTATCTCTGCCCTTCCTTTCTCCCTTGTCAGTGTCTCACTATTACTCTCTCTCATAATTTTTCTACAATATCACAAGGAAGAACAAGAAACCATTTCTTCAAACGTAGCTCTCATCCGATTCTTTTTCTTGATCTCCCAGGTCTCCCTATCTCTACACATATCTTTGTGGATTTCTCTGGCCAATCGATGCCGTCCAGGGGTGATCGAGCATCTTCTCTTCTCCAACAAATCGTAGAGTTGACAGAGGCAGAAAGTAGCGGCTCCGATGTTCTTCTCCGGTGTAAGGCTGATGGGGACAGAGGAACAGGGGCAGATCGGTGGGTTCTGGGTTTGTTTCTTGACTGGGTCGGCGTCTTCTGTCTTCTGATCTGGTCCTCGCGATTTACTTAGAGTGTGACCTCCTACGCCTCTGAGAATCGATCTTTATCTCCGTTCATCCTTCCAACCCGGCAGATCTACGATCACGTAAGTGGTACAAGTTAATCTGCCATTTTTGTTTCGATTGCTTTATTTCTTTCTTTGTGCCTCTGGTTGCTGAATGCTTGGGTATTTGTGTTTTCGATGCAGAGAATTATCAAGTGAAGAGGATTGGGGAGCTGTGTGGTAGCCTTCAACTTCATCCTGGTCTATTACCCGGTATTTGATCATTTTCTCTAATATTCTTCTGGTTTTAGTCCATTTCATTCTCCATGTTCCTCATGTTGTTGGCTATTTATTTTGCTCAGTTTTTTGTTTCCTCATTTGCTTTTAGCCTTTGGTTGGAGAAGAAGCAAGAGGTCATGCGAGTAAACAGCTCGGGCAAGAGGTAGGGCCACTTTGATTAAAATCCAGACTAGCAGTTCTAACCAATATTTGTCTTATTACACCACATATGGAATCGTTTATGGACACATTTCACCATTCTATCCCTTACACTGTCAGCCCAAGTCTTCTGTGTTTACTCTACATGTGCTCTGTTGAATTATCTTGATCCTATTTTTGTTGTTTGCGCCAATTGTGATTGCATATATGTCATGTTGTCTTCATTGCTATATCTGTGCGAGTTGTATATGTTTAGTCCATTTTATTTTTTATGTTTAATCTGTTTGTTTCAACCACAGGATAATGATTGTAATGTCGTGCTACCTAGAAACAGGAATTGTAGTGCCTTCACAGACTTTTTCCAACATGGTAATTGTTCTTATAGAATGATTGCGTTTTGTTGAATTTGATTTTGCCGTTCAGCGTCTGCAACTGGATCTTGGGTAGAGTAATAGAAAGGAAAAAATTGGTGGGAGATAATAAGATCCTTTTATGCTAAAGATTCCTATGTTTTGTTTCCCTTATAGATCAAGTCAAGTTGGTTCTCTTGCTCGGTTGGACCTTCAGGTGAGCCTCCGTTGACGTGCTTTGGGGTGTCGTGAGAATCGTGATTTCTTTCATTTTTGTTCCCCATAGGTTTTGTTGTTTTCTCCTGAATCCTTTGCATTTTAGCGGGGGATATCACTACTTGAAAACTTGCTGTATACTGTTTTGCATCTCCAGCAGGCTGAGCTGCGTATTTGTGAGTTTACACGGACAAAAGTGTTGGGGATTGATGATTTCAGAGCTAGAGAGCAGAATGCATTTCATAAAATTTCTCATTGATATTAGCCATTGATGTTGCATACTTCTATGAATCCATCACAGGGATGAAAAGTTAATGGTTTTTTCTTCTGTGTTGCAGGTTTAACTATATGTTCCCTTTGCACCCGTGCAGCCAAGGAGTAATAAGTCGGCTTGGGGTGGGTCTCCTCAGCCCCCTTCTCTGGAAATGTCAAGCACCGACAGGGGAGACGACATTAGTAGCCAGGGAGGATGCGGGTAAGAGAGAGGTGAAAGGAGTTTAGCCCTGGCCATTTCCGTACACGGTCGCTTGCAGGTAATCGCTTTCTATTTCTCTTCATTTTGTTGGCCCTGTCTAGATAGTGCAGATTTTGCCTGCTTTAAACTGTACACGTAACCTAACTTGAGCACTGTGTCTCATCAGTCAAAATTGCTTCCTTGATTTTTAGTTTCTGTTCCCGTGTTATCTTGATGTCGTCGTTTGTGTTTGTACTAGAGATCAAACACCCAAAGATCGTCATTTTACCATGGTCTCCTTTTCACTGCCAATCACTCGCTTGGTAACCGCTTACCATTTTATGTAAACTCATCTGCAAGACTGTTCTTTGAGCTCCAATGAACACCTTTCAAAAAAAAAAATTTCTCATTGTAAGCTTCGATTCCACCACCTTTCGCCAGCAATTAATCACTTTGTAATGCATATGTCATTGTGAGCTCTAGCGGTTAACAACATTTTCTGTTGCTTATGCTGGGTCCATAGGGCTAATTAATTATAGAATTTTGTCAGCGCTCTTAAAGGTTGCCTCAGCCAGGGTTCTAAGATCCTTGCGGTATTGATTTATGGTGTGCTGCCCCTTTTCTGAACTTTTGTTTGTGTACTTGCTGTAGTGGGAGAAAAATGGAGTAGTTGATGTTCATGACTTCGACATTTCAACTAGCAAGGGTTCGTTTGTCATGAAGCCACTCAGTTTAGTGAGTAATCTTCTGCAGGTCTGGAACCAATGTCGGCCGAGCCATCGGAGGAGTGTAGGTCAGCAGATGTCTTCAAAGAGAAACATGCCCAATCTGTCGCACAAAGCTGATCAGAACTCTCTTCTACTTGCAGTTTAGTGACAAGGTTAGCTCCTTAATTCATCTCTTTTGCTATGTCAATGCCCTTTTTATCAACTGTTCTATTTTAATGGAATTCAATCGATCTTGCTTAAGAAATTTAATGTACCAAATCAAATTTGGTGGATGGAAATGTATGTTCATACTTAGATTTCAAGTTTGCTAGAATGTTGGGTATATTCTGTTCGATAGTCATGCTGCATGCATGATCAGTACTTTCATTTCATAGTATAAATGTGTTGAGAAAGGGAAAGCAAAACTGGTGGTTTGTTGTGTTCATCTTTCCATGTCTCTCTCTTTTCGACTGTCCCTCCCCGGCTGAAATGTCCATTTTTTACTGTGTCACACTCCTGTGTTCTGTCTAAGTTTCCCCTCATCTCTCCCTGCTATACAGATCCGGATAAATAAATGGCAGATAGATCTGTAACCATTTGGTTTAGTTCCTTTTAGGATTTAGTTTCTACCCTCCTTGATTTCGTTCTTTCTCAATTTGAGAGAAGTTTTTTCCCCCCCAGGTTATGGTAGATCTTTGAAATGCAGGCATGACGCATGAGAGAGACAAGGGAAGAATCCCTTGGCTAGCCTTTTTCAATAATTGTCATTTACAGTTTGGGTTGGCTCCTTTTGCCGGATGCTTTGTTGCTTCTCACTGACTGTTTTTTCCTTACAATTACCATTTCCTCATCCATTGTACCTTATCTGCTATCATTTGGCGACCTTGCTTTATGGTCTCCAATGGCTAATTTTGGTTTGGGTTTGATTCTTAGGCTGTCGCTTCAAGTTGATGAATCCAATAATTGTACAGGTGAGTTTTGGTTTGATTCTTAGGCTGTGACTTCAAGATTGATGAAGCCAATGACTTCGAAGTGAGTATTGCTTCTCGCTGAATGGTCAAGTGTTTTCCAGATCTGCTACTCTTCCAGCGTTCAGTACCCTCAAGAGTTGTTGCCCTTACTTCCTAAACTGGCGTGCTTGACCTCCCCTTATTTGTTGTGCTTTATCAGTTTCTTGCTTCATGTATACACATATCTTTTGTTGAATTGAGAAAGGCTACTTTTGGTAAAATATCACTACTACTTTTAATGGAAAATGAATAGTCAAAGGTGGTTATATGAGATGAAATGCAAGAGCAAGCGTGTAGTTTGACTTTGAAAATTTGTTCTATGGAATTTGTTTCTCTATTCCTGTAGTATTCCTATGAATATGAGTGAGAGCTTTCTTTTGTCTAAATGATGCAAGGATTTATAGATTGCGGGTTCCGATTACTATATACATCTGTGCCATTTTTGGGGAGTTCTTTCGTATGCATGCGAATGTACAGTTGGAGTAAAGTGTTACAACTCCCTATTTGAAGTAGTCACGTTAAATCTAACATTTAATATCTTCTGTGTTGTAACTTATGAACATTGATTAGTTTAGAGGGATTCAACTCAGGTAGCTTCTGTGTTTACATGTGTTCTTATGTTAGTTGTTATCACCATGTTATACGATTTTGTTTGCCTCTATTAAGATTTCTATCACGTAATCTAATCGTATAAGTTCTATGTAAGAGCGCCACCCCGACAGATGAGAAATTTATGTTGAGGGTGGTGGCAAGGAAGCAGTTTGTCGAATTAAAACGCCAATAGCAACGAATGTTTAGGGACATTCAGCAACGGTACTTGGTCAGCATTTCACATGCATTACCGGTGAATATTTCTGAACCTTTAATGTCTCCGACTTTTTGCTTGGCACTTCTTTTTGGGATATTTGTTTCTACATGTTGCAGAACCAATCCATGCCCTTTAAACTACTCATTTCATATTGCTGACTTCTACCTCCATCTAATGTATTGCAGGCTCAACATTTCACTCTTCCCTTGCTTAAGGATATCAGAAGCTCGGTCCAAGGTTTACTCTACCTTGATTCCTTGACTAATCGCTGATTCCATGTTGACTTAATTCGAGTTACCCCATTGCAGAGTCTCATGATGAAAGTTGGTAGGTTAGATGTTACCTCACACTAATTCAGCTTGTGATGTTTGAATGGAAACAACTATCTAAAGTTCAGAAAGTCTCGAGTTACAGGCTTGAAATTTTATTATTTTTTAAGGTTGTAGGTGGGACATTGTTCTTCCTCTGTCTCTGTACCTCTGGCTGATTTTGGGTTTTTTTTTGTTTTTTTTTGTTTGATTTAAAGGCTCAACGTGCATGTTCAGTTTCCAATTTTTTGTTTGCCTGCCGAACAAAAACCTCAATGTTGCTATCCAGATTAATTCTCTGCACAAATGCTTTAAGTATCAGTTTTTTTTTTATTTCTATCAATATAATCGTTCATATGCCCAACAACACAATGCTTACCCTATGCATGTGCTTTGGAAGAACAAATACATAGTGTCAATGATTTATTATGGTTGGTTAATTCTGGACACAAATTTATTCTATATATGGGAATTTTCAGTTCACTACTCTGCCCATAACTGTTGTACTTGATCATTTCAAGATTTACTTACTAGAATACTATCATACATATCAAAATAATCTATTGAATTCTTTTATGCTTGGTTCTCAATTATCCGGTCGTTGGTTGTCTTCTATCGAAGAAAAGAAAGTCATGTAAACTGGCTGTCTACTGTACTTTCTAATGAAGCACGTCTTTTTTTCGCAGGTTCTGTTATGTTCGCTTTTTATTCGTGGTTTTGTGTTTTGCTTACTTTGTCATTTGCAAGTTGTTGAATTTGATTTTCCTACTGAATTAGTCCATCTTCCCAGCAAATAGCGAGTTTCCATCTTTTAGTATCTGCAAATTGTTGAATTTGATTTTCCTGCTGAATGAGTCCATGTTGTGCGAGATGTGTTAGGGGAAATGCAAATAGCGAGTTTCCATCTTTTAAGATGATATGGAAATGGTTGATAGCAGTCGTGGGATCCCAACCATCAAGCACTCGAATGACAGGTTGTGGATCTACGGTGTGAAGGAACTTGCTTATGCCTTCAACGAAAAGGGTGCTCTTCCGTTCAGTTGAGATTGCTTGCTGGTTTCTTATAAGAAAGTTCAGAGATTCTACGAAATATGATTAGTTTGATGGGGTTTTCTTTCGTGGTGGTTCGTGTCACTTTGTACAAGCAGGGATACCCAGTAACATGTTCATGCACAATCCTGTGACCTTTTTTAGAATTTCATACATGCAACTCAAAATATGTGGCTACTCTGACCATCGGTTCTAATCTGTGTTCGGATTGGCTTCGACCTGTGCTGATGTAGGTTATAGTTCAACTTTGTTAATATATCATGCTTATGCCTGTTCATCTTTTCGGTCGAATTTTCTTCCTTGACTATTGACTTTGTATAGTAGGAACACCACCTAACGAGATACATTTTATCTTAGACCATAATTCTGCACCTTTTCGCTGCAGTTGCTCTGCATATTTCCCTCCAGATTGTACCCATAATTTTGGAGTTCCTTTTCAGACCTCCAGATCGAAGAGTGCTCTACTATGTGGTATTTTCATCAGACCTCTCTGCTTTCCTTTTCACACTATTGAACCTTTGATTTTAATAGATTTTCCCGTGTCTCCTCTTCTGTGCCCAGGACGCAACCATTGTTGAGATTTCTGTTGCTATTATCAGATGCAAGTTTGAATGGGGTAAAATTATGTCACCTTTCATTCTACGGTTTTATGTTTTCTTCCTCAAATGTTGGCGGCATTTACTGGTACCCAAGACCATAGTTTCTTTCTCTAATATATTGGGGTTTTTTTCCACTCGATGGTTTATGAGTATCATACATTATTATTCAAGTTTGTTTACACCATTCCGGTTGTTCTTAATACATGTCTTTGTGATGTCGAATGAAGCGTATTCTCACTTTTAAATTGTACTTCTTTCCGCTTCTGGCCTTGAAACTCACTTTTTAAAGGGAGTTCCTTTGCACCCTTCTCTGAGCCTTTTAATATATATATATATAGTGTCTTGGATCAAATTTGTTTGTGAGCTATTAGGTGGTGACCATTTACAATTAGTGATGGTTGAAAGAAAGAAAATGAAAAGCAGCCAAGTATTCACTCTTAAATTGTTAGGATTCTGCAATTGAAAGCATTAAGCTAAACTAAAGTGGAATCGATTTTGGGATAGAGTTGCTTAAGGCTAGAGCATTTGATGTGTGTGTCTCTCTGACCTGAAACTGTATTTGTCTAGCAGGAATTACCCATCGTTCGATAAACTTTATCAACTTGTAAAACAGGAAAAACCTCACTCTGAAGCATTGTTGGTTGCTCCCCAACAATTAATACTGCCTTTTATTACATGCCTTTATTCATCATGTAATGTCCCGCTATGTAGACTTTCTTTTTATTATAGCCTTAAGTAAAAAGAAAAGTTCAGTTTTCATTAGACACATCCAATAACTGGTGATGGCCAAAAAGGAGCAAACCAATTATTCCATTTTCATTCTATTCTCCTCAAAGCTTGAATAGTGCACAGCATTAACCGCTTTTGCCATGGAGTTCCTTCTCAGAGCTATTTCATGCTTATATTCTTATTTTCCATTATCTTTCTGTCAGTATTAGTTCTTTGTTTTTGCTACTTTTTTGTTAACTGCATCTTCAAGCTTCAGCTTATTAGCTTTTCTGTCAATGGCAAAATTTGCAACCTTAGATTTGTTCCTTTGATTTGCCAGTTTATCCTTTAGATGGTGTACTCGAATGAACTGTATCCTGCACTTTTGTTAATGATCTACAATAGGATACAAATAAACAAAACTGAATACTTGCACTAAGATGTATTTCAAATGGTAGAGCGGTGCATCTGGGAGATACATTTCTGGTTTCCTGTAACTTTGAACTTTGTTACTGACATCTTCTACAATTCCCAGACCTCTATTATAATTTCATTACATACTCTAATTGATTGATTTTTAAATTAGTGAATTATCCTAACACGAGGCATCGTTGACAACACCAGTGCAGAAACGAAGTCGTCTATGGAATCAAGAGTGACACAGGAAGGAATGTTGAGGGCCT